ATGAAAGGGAGCAAAGGCACGTTCTCTTGAAAATCCCAGCAGAACTGGAAAAGAACTTCTGAGCTATGTCTTCTGAAGCCTTGGCAGAGATATGAGCTAGACTCACTAGGGATATGCAATTGCCCACTGTTTCTGTGGATAAGGGAATCCAAATGGTAATTCGCAGTTTGAGGAAGCAGAAGAAAATGGAGAATAATAATTGCACAATATTCTACACACTTTGTGTGCAGCTCAGCTTCTCTTGAAGCTTTAATACAGTTCAGTACAGCTTCTTCCTGAAAAGATGGAGTGTAATCAGGAGTTCACTGCTGAAGTGAAGCACCCAGTTGTCCCCGTCTTACTGTGCTTTGGGTTGCACCGTTGAGCACACTCAGACCACACAAACAGGATTTCTTCTGGATGAACCTGAGCTAGAGCATACATTTCCAGCACACACCCATGCAGAATCAGTCCATGGGACCCAACCAGAACTAGTCCAAGTAAAAAGCCAAAAGCATATTCACAGTCGACACCGGATCCTCTGTACTGATGGTTTCACTCTACAGATCATGTCCTTTAGGTCTGCGCTGCTTGTTGATGTGGAGGTAACCTAAGTGTAATAGGTTTTTTTCCACCAATCATTTAATGGAGCAATAACTCTGCTGAAAATAAGGCAGACAAATGTGTGTGCAGCCGTGCCATATCCCAAGCCTGGGAGCGCTCCGTGGGGCAGCTGCTGGCTGGGCCAGGATGTGTGCGGACAACCGAGAGAGCGCGAATGGCCGTGGGCAGCACAGCGCAGGGGCACATCCACTCCTCTGGACAGGAATGACTGTCCATGCCCATCTGCAGCACCGTGGAACCCCGCACTGGGGACTACAGTGACGTTCCTTATCTCTAAACCTGCTCCAGGGCCTCCAACACACAACCTGTGAAGCGAGTTTTCATCACATACTCTTCACATAGGTGCCATACTGCTGCTGAATGCATGGTGGAGCTGAGGCTGTTTCATGTAGGAGCACATATGTACATAGGAGCATACATGTCTTGCTTGTAGGAGACAGCAAAGCAGCTTTGTACAGCTTCAATTTAGCTCATTTTTTCCCTCCTGCCTTTTCCAGACAAGGTCCTTCTGCCATAAAGCCTCGTCTTCCGTCTCACCCCCTCAGTGGGAGGCTGATGGTGAGGATATGACCCTCACACAAAGCACTGCATGTGCCAGGATATCCTGGGACATCTGTGCAACAGCGTAAGCACTAGACATGGGTGAGGGTCCACAACTCGTCAAGTAGATCACACCCAGCTTTTTGGCACCCAGCATGACACATTTGGACTTCACAGAAATGACAGTCTGTGGCTTTTCTGTTCTTATATTAGTCAAGAAAAAATCACGCACACACTTGCTAGACTCATGTGAAGGCTCACTGTAAGCTAATGAGACACAAAAATAAGATGATAAAGCAGAAAGTGCATAATTACTCTCCCTCCTTTTAACAAAATAACTGGCATGCAAAATTCTCCTCATTTTGAAGATCATTGTGGCACTTGGGTCCAGCTGGTTGGGGACACAAAGGGCCATTAGGGATTACATGTTTTTCTCCATAATTTCTATACAGTTGATCTATGAGGGCACAGTCTATGGGCACTTTCCAGAAGCATCTCCCAGGAGGCGCAGATGTAAATGTAGGCTGGGCAGCATGAGCACAATATATCAATCATGTCCCAGCGGTTCTGCATGTGTGCAAGACTCACACAAATGTGCTAGCTTTGGAGGGACTACCTTATTTCCTGGCCTTATTTGCTTATTTACTCTTGATCTGACAGTTTGTCAAACTTCTGTAAATCCCAGATAAATAAAAGTCTTCAGATTTGTCTGAGTAAGAAGAAATTGGTTTTCCAGGATGTATCTTTGATGAGTTAAGAAAAGGCTAAAAATTTATCATAACAAAACGTGGCTTAAGTTTCCTCATCACGATGGGACCATTCCCTTTCACATGCTGGTCAATGACCTGCTCCACCAAGACGCTTTTGTATTTTATTTCAACAACTGGTAGAGCAAAATGTTCTCTGGAGTAAATTATGGTTGTCAAATTGGAGTCCTCTGGGCTGTTAGTTGGATCCCTTCTCTGTAGTCAGTGTTACCTACAGAAGCAAAGCTAAGGCCGGGCTGTAACAAAGCCACTCGTGTGTGGCAGAGGGACACGTGACAGAGGGAGAGCACTGCAACCCCCGTTTTGGAGAGTGAGTCTTCTGCCTGACATCAATGAGCAGGTTGGCAGAGAAGGCAGCAGAGCACTTGCCTTGATCAGTGCTGGCCAGAAATGTCTTGGCCAGAATCCAAGAGGGGAAAAGAAGGGATGTGGTGGCTCAGATCAATCTTCGTGAAAAGAGGTTTCCCTTTGCCCACACCCATTATTGCAGCTCCGAGGATCCAGTCACCCCAAATGTGATATGGGCATGCGTGTTTACGTCTGCTTTCCGATGCCTTTTTATTGCTTTTGAGTTTGAGAGATTTTAGCATTTATATTTTCAAACTTTGCTAGAAATGTAGATCTGTGAAAAGAAAAGCAGAGCTGACACTCTCATTATATTCTCTTAAGTGTAGGAGCTAGAGGCTTCAGAAAAATGCCTCGCTACGGAAATGCTTGCAATAGGATCACAAGAGCTACCAATATGAATTCTCCTGCTTTCAGCTGTCTTAGTTAGCTCCACAAAGAATTTGAATTTATCTCTTACAAAACAAATAGCATTTCTATATATCTACTAATACCATAATTAGAGGGATTACATTTTAAATCAAAATGTCAGAAACTCGCTTCCTTCTCTGCCATCTGCTTGGACCTGACATGTCCCTGAAACAATTAATGGTACTGCAGCCCCAGACAGAAAATCAGCCCCATGTTCCTCTTTTATTCAAGTGTTTGAACACCAGCCAAAGTAGCATGAGCAACAGAGCCCTGGGCTCTCAGGTACAGGCATTCAGGGCAGTCTGTGGATTGTTCTTGTTCTAAAATGTTCCTGGCATTTTTAAGGTAAGTGTTCAGTATGTCTCGCTAGGGATTTGGCAGCCTGACAGCCTACAAACTTACTCCACTGAGGTGTTAGTGAGAGTGTGGGCGACTTGGTAGGAAGGCTGTGCAGGTAGCTGCCAACCTTATGGGTAAGCTCTCCCACCCGTGGATCTCTCACCTTTTCTTTCCTCCCTGGAGGAGGAACCGATGTTCCCTGCAAGTCACCGTCACAGCCTTCGAATGGCTCTTTCAGTAACTGCCACAGGGCCCTGCTGGTTTGTGGCAAATTCAGCCAAAGCATATTTTTTTATAGGGGAAACAACAAATTTGCAGTTTCACTGCTGACTATCTGGCAAACTTGTACCTTTCCTTTCACCATTAGAATCAACATTTGGTTTGTTGTTGCTGTGTTTTTTTTTTTTTAACATGTTCTTAAAATTTCCAGACACTTCACTATTGTCTGTTTAGCAGATCTCCTTAGAAAAATAAATAAAGGAGTTTTGTTCACTTCAATTATCTTGAGTTTCTCTGGTATTGGGAGATTAACTGGAGGATTTTTCTACCTTTTTATAAAGTCCCATGCACTTTTTGCTGTGCCTGGTCCCATGGACGAGCAGAAATACATCACAGAAGTTCTAGAATAGCATCCAGTCCCTTACCATAGGCAACTCACTGGTGCCCTGTGGAAAAGTCTTAAAGCAAGCCCTGAGGATCTGAGGTGCTTGCATCTGACGGCCAGCATTTTCTGCAGGAGACCTTTAAGGGACACCTTTCCCTCTGCTGAATTGATAGGAACCTAAAGCGTAGGCACAAATTTCAGATGT